CTCATGTTCTGTTGTTTGCTGCTTTTTGCGCATGTAAAATTAATCCCCGGGAAACAAATGTTAGTATTTTTAACGGGTCACAGACACTTATCCTTTCTAATTTAATTCAATTCTAAATTAAAATAATCTTGTCGGTTGACGAGCGTCGGTTGTCAGTTAGGAAAAATAACCGAAATGAACATCCCTACTTGGAAATCAAAATCATGAATTTCCCTTATTTTTTGGAATGTCCTTGAGAACCTGTTATAAATAAGAACAACACTTCCTATTCCAAAGTGTTTTCAAACAAACTCAAAAGATTGCAATCATTCTCTGAATGTTTTTTCACTTAAAATAAATCATGTTCAACGTTTTTGAAATCTCTTTTGAAAAGCTGATATTGCAGCAAACTCTTCGAACCATCCAATTAACTCTCGCAATAAAACTCGACAATAAATTAATATGTACAAAACATCTTCTCCCTGTGGTCAAACCATTCAAATATGTTTCCAGATACACATGCAAGCACATCCACTACACATAAACAAGCACAAGAACATGACAAACAAATTAAAATTCCATAACCTGATGTAATACTACACTCCAGAATACTGTACTCAAAAAGGAAACAAAGGGAGGGCTCACAATTCAAATACTGATTATAACATTTCAGAAACATACTATGTTTTTTAAAACATGCAATTCAGTGCATACACGATACTTTACATTTTGTCCATATCCTCAATTTCAGAAAAAAAAGGAAAGCTCATTTCAATTTTTTTTCCCAGAAAAAAAAAGCCTAGTCTGTCATAAAACCAGATGTCTTACTGTGAAGATGCGGCGACCGGTGCGGTCGAAGGTGACACAGTACACAGATGACAGGTGTCCCAGAATTCTCTTGTGCATCTTCATATGTTGGTAAACAGCTGTCGGAACCAACTGACCCAACCGATATAAGCCATTCAGCCTCCGACTGTATATTGTTTCCACTATAGCACACAAGAGCAAATACATTTGAATCTTCAGCTTCCTAAGTAAACTCTTAATATAACCATTTAATTTACAACAAATAACGTTTTTTTAATGCATGGTTCACAAATTTCAAAATGTTCTACTTTCTTTATTTGAAAATTAAAATTTCTATTTCAATAATCAAATCAATGAAAAACTGTCTTTAAAAGGTATGAGGGTGTGTAGGAATGTTGTTTCTTCCACTGGAATACATCAACAAAACAACCAATAAAAGGTGACTTACCAATATTGGGCGGGCTTCCATAGATGACTGGCGGCTCGGGTGGCCTGCCACAGTGCAGGGCTGCGAGGGCAGACCCCTTCCATACCACGTGCTTACAACCTTGCAACAAACATGTGGGATTGTCACTAAACATACACTGTAGACCTGACTGAATCCCTAGGCACACTTACACAAACTGGTATTGACACACACATCCACTGCAAAGCAATATATAATTATATGCTTTTGTTTTATTTCTATGAAGGCCAGTTGCAGTATTCTTGATAATGTTATAGACATGCTGAAGTTTTAATTGCTATGGAAACTGTTTTAATTTGAAGGCAGCATTATTATTAATTCCACCACTACTGATCAATTATCATTCCTCTTTCTTTCACATACTTGCTTATATATCTGACTCAGTCGTGAGATGCCATTTGTAAACATTAAAAGATTAAATTAAATCCTTTAATGAATTTACCTAATGTTAAGATTTTTCCCTGTCATCAGCTTTTTACATAGAAAAAACAGTGGCACAAAATACACATTTGATCAATTCATTATTACATTGCTTTACAGCAGTTATGGTGTTAATACTGTAAAAAAAGACATTCAAAACATATTTTTTGCTTAACCTGGCTGTAAACTGGTTAACTTGCTTATTAAAAAATGGTTGATGAATTCATTTAATCAGCAAATAGAAACACTCACTCTTGTTTGTACGTAGCACTGACTGGCGTCCAGCTCCCAGCAGTGAGTTAACTCCAGGTACACTGGCTGGCACTTCTCTCTCTAAAAGAGGACTCACTCGCTCACACACCTGCAACAGGTGATCTGGAGAAATGTGCCTGTACAATTTGACCTATACACACAATCACAAAAGTGCATTAAGGCAAATGGATCTACATTTGTATTTAAATATATTTCTAATATAATGTACAATATGCTCAATTATTTTGTTGTAATAGTGCATGCATAGAAATTAGATATTGAAAAAGGAAAAAAAAAAATGCAAGAACATGTTTTTGTGCAAGTATCATGCAAACATTTTGCAGCCTTGCAGTTAATTTACAATCTTAACGCTAATCTACATAAATACCTTTTTAAATATAATTACAATTATATAATTCAATAATTACATTTTCTACTACTACTACATTCAAATTTAATCAAAGCATGTCATGTGAATGCTTTCGTTAAAAAATAACCAGTATAACAATGAAATTATCTTAATGAACGTGTATTTAAAAAAATTAGATAACAAAAGAAAGGTATATACTTAAAAAGGCATTTACCAGACATTGACCGTGCACACATAAAAAAACGTTCAGATGATAGCATAATTACAATCTTATAGAGGATTATATTCGACACTTCGTTTTAAAACAATACAGTGTTACTGCCGTATTGCAAAGCGCTTTTTATCTTTCCATATTTTCCCTAGAGGTTAATCTAATCTAACGTTACAGTGTAAAATGTTCTCCCCCTGCGCAACGCGTCAGTCCGGGCATCTTTTATCAAGCCTGTTCAGCAGATCCAGCTTCTAAAGGCAGACCAGTAATTAATGTGGTTTTAATAGCATTTAGCGTCATCCTATTGGTCTACACACACACACACACAAACGCGCGCACACACCGCTTAGCTAATGACTGTATGAGTAAAGCGATGTTAACATTGAGTGAATCAGGGTATGCGTATTATAACATTAATCATAAATTAAAATCTAAATGCATCTACTGTTTTGTTAATGAATCATCGTTCCTAATTAGTATACTGTTTTGCTGTTAATGTATTACATATTAATTACTTTGCGGACAACACAGTAATTACTAAAGAAAAATTTGGAATAAAAAAAATTGTATTTAAAAATGCATATATATATTTTTTAAATATTAAAATATAATTTATTTTTCATTACAATTTTAATGCAATATTGTTATCATCATCATCACTTAATTAATCTTATGAATAATGATAATTAATGCAGATTGCATAGCTCATTAACATATTTATCTGGGGACTCGAGACCTGACCAAAAAAAAATTAATTGACAGCGCCAACATCAGGCGGTAAAGTCTCGTGCGCATTATTCCTACCCACAATCTGCAGACACGGGCTTTAACATCTCCACACACGGCAGTGAAATCATCCACGAACGGTCACATTCGCACACACACACACACACGCATTCACTCACTATAATACGCTGACTGGGATCTAGTGGCGTAGCGGCGCGCGAGATCAGCCGCAAGACCATCGCGAATACAAAATAACAGAATATCGCTACAATGTGTGTGAATTTCACCGTGCAGAAGAGACGGCGGCGATACAGCAGTAACAGCGTGTGTGATTAACAGACAGTTGAGTCTATTAGTTACGCAACTGATATATATTGGGGGCTGGCCATAATAGGGGCTGGATCAAAACACACTAAGTTTTAAAATCAAAATATTTTTGTATCTCTCACTTCGAAAGCGAAATCAAACTGTCTTCTCGAGTGATATTCCTAAATGAAATAGCGAGCTACTGGAAAACGCAAATAACCCGATTAATCATTTATTTACCTTTCTAAATATCGTAATTAATAAATTAATCAATATGTACTCATTTCGATGTACCTCTCATTTGTATTATCGGCCTCAAGTCTCTCAGTGCTGTCTGTTCAAAAATAATTTCCTCCGAAGGAACAAATTGTCAGGGCCACTTAAAAAAATCCCCAGTACTCTGCTAAGATCCTCTACGACTCCGGCTTTGTTGCTTCCTGCTCCAAAAGCTTAGTTTAAGTGAAATAAACTAAGGTAAAATGAGTATTTTACCCTGACTATGGTTGTATTACATGGAGCAGAGCGCCTCCATCCCGCCCCGCTTTCAGTCTCTGGCGCACTGGTCCCTCCTCCCTCCCGCTCCCTTCCCCTTATAGCACCACATTCATGACGTCTCTTTATTTCTACATCAATTTTAACATCTATTTACACCTCGTGGACAGCACTGTGACCAAACTCACATCCCTGAGGTCAGGCCAGGCTCTGGGTTCACCCATTGACGGTCCTTTCTAGCCCCGAGGTTGGTTTTTGCCCGTGTGTTCGGGTTAAGTTTTTTCCTGATTTAAAAATTGCGGGAAATTCAATTTCTTATTTTGCTCTCTAAAAAGTTTTCTCTCGGTTATAGGGATGCCTTACCAAATTTTCGTAACTCCCTGGGTGTTCTTTGCCAGTCCAGTCAATCCTTTTGGGTAACAGCTGTAACGGAAAAACAGTGTTAAACAGGTCTAGGTAAATTCTAAGGGGTCGATTTTGTGTTTTAAAGAATAAATATGAAATCTGCGTGAAATTAACAGTCTAAAGTGTAGCGCAGTGAGATGCGACGCGAGTATTGCTCGCGCTGCTTACCTCCTTATCCTGAACCTCCCGTATCAAGGTCTGAAAAAAGCACAAAAATAGTAAATTACACTTCGATCTTTTCCAGAAATGTCGTTTACAGTCCTAAATTACAAAATCACCCACCTCTGCCGCGTCCTGACAAGGTCCAGCTTCTAAAAACCGGGCTATTAGGAAGTACAGTTCTGCGAGATGGGGGAGAATGAGCTACATTAGCTTTCAAGAAGGACGTGGTGGGAAAGGCAGATGTACATAAAAATATTCCAACGTCACCTTTCTCAATCCCTTTTACTCACCGGATTTCAACTGCGCGATGTGTTTACGCTCAGCAGCCATGTTTAGGGTTGTTTTGGGGGTGAAGGAGAAGGTGTGTGGCCGTTCTGGGAAGCAGGTATCGCTAGGCTGCCCTATAGTTGTCAGTGTTTGTTCACCAGGAAGAGCTGCGCCTCCATTCACCCAACACACACAGAAAGCAGATCCGGCATGTCGCGCGAGGCTTCCGCGCTCTCGCAAAATAGTCCGCTCTCAGGCACAACGTGCCACGCGTCGATGCGGACAAACATCCCGAGCGCCGGGGCGTTTGGGGTGGACAAGGAACGATGTTTCTAAAACGTGCAGTTTAATGCACCTTAAGGTGTTCGTGAATATTTTGGGTTTCAGTTTACGCTCCTCACCCCCTCCTCCCTCCAAAAAGCACAACCCCCTTTGCGCAGGAATACACGAGCAGAGTCTAGTACGTACGCGCAGGACTGTGCTGTCAGGCAGGCTGCGTTGCTAACGCTGAAGGGGAAAAAGAAGGCAATGGTGGCTCATTTTATGCAATAATTTAACTGTTCATTCAGGCTACGGTTATTTGTCTAAGTCCCATACCCTGAGCTTTAATGGCGTCTCTTGTTCCTCGGTCTGTCGACCTTGCAGGCAGCGAAGCTCGGATCTCACACCATGTTTCTCTCACAACAGCATATTGAAGCTTACTATCAAACACCTGAATACTACCCCCGTATTTGTGTGGTTGTAAAGTGTATAAAAGTCCATTCGTTTTCATCTTAAACCAGACTTATTCCAAGGAACCCACCCCCTCTTTCGGTAGTGATTTGTCCTCCATTTCTTTCCCAAAAGCGAGCGGGCAGTAAAATGGGGGAAGGGTTGTAAACAGGGAGAATGTAATGAATTAAACCTTGTACGTTAAAGGAATCCAGTGACTAATGGCAACACCAGACAAAATAGGACATTGATTGGTGATCTTATTTATATATTTATATGCCATAAGGTCTATCTATTTTAAAGAAACAACATACAGACTGTGTGTCCATGTCTAGTTAAAGGTTGTGTAAAACAGTTATATAAATTGGACAAAGTGTTTTAATACTTCTGTCCACAATACTATATTAATTACATAAAAGTATTATACATTTTTTTCTTCTTATCTAAGCAATCAAAGGCATAAGCAAGCAGTGAGGATGCCTGCTTTAAATGAGACAGCTGAAGTTGTCCTTTATATGTCCTACGGACTTAATTTAGATAAATATATTTATGAGTAAGTCATACGACATTGAAAAGGCCTGTTGAGTTTTCATCTTCTGTAAGGATAGTGCTGAGTAAAGTAGTTGTGGAGTTCATGATATAACCAGTCTAAATACTAAGTTCCCTAATTAGTTATCCATGTTAAATAAACCACCAGCTGTTTTACAGCCAATGCTTGTGAAGTTCAAGAGGCTAAACCTACTTTTTTGCTTTGACCGTATTTTGCAAGTGATGCAAATGAGAGTTCAAAATGAGGCTTAATATCCCAGCAACCATTAAAGAATATAATAACATAGTTTTATAGAATATTTTTAACAGATTTTTTCATGTCGTTTTAAATATTTTGAATGTATTTTCATGTGCATATTATGCACATTTACATATACAATTCACATATACAATAGTGTTCGTGAATTTTGAATGTGTGTATGCACTTACCAATATCATCCCCAAAAGGCAGTTAAATCTGACAAAACTGTTCTTTAAGGATATTCAGGGTGTCCCTTTTTGATAAATAAATAAGTAAATAAAAAAATCTAAAACTGCAAAATAAATTAATAATTACAAAATTGTATGCTTAGTTAGCATTGTATTTATGTATGTCTGCACACACTGACATTGCCATAATCACAAATTCAGATAGATTTACTGCACTCTTGTTTTAAGGGGTGAGGCATCAAAGTGAGGCATTAGACAAAGGAAGCGTTTGAGGTTTGCCTTTCCTTTTTTTAAAGCTAAAAAGCTAAAAAGGTGACTTTGATACAATCTGTGACTTTTTGTTTATAAAGCTGATACAAACTGCTATGTGCCCTTGCTAGGGAAATCCTGAGTTCAGCTGTTACTTTTAGCTGCATTTGGTGGTGTAACACTTGCTAAACTACTGACACTAGGAGTATAAGTGTGGAGGAGAAAAGCAGTCAGATACTTAAGAACTACAGGTGCATCTCAATAAATTAGAATGTCGTGGAAATGTTAATTTATTTCAGTAATTCAACTCAAATTGTGAAACTCGTGTATTAAATAAATTCAATGCACACAGACTGAAGTAGTTTAAGTCTTTGGTTCTTTTAATTGTGATGATTTTGGCTCACATTTAACAAAAACCCACCAATTCACTATCTATATCAGTATAAAAATGACTTACCATATAGGAAGT